TGTCATCGTTCTTACATATATCCAGTTTTAAAGGCTTTTTCCTTCCAACATAATGAAAGGTAATATGATTTCGAGTTAAACATGTATTCACCATTCTGAACAAACATTGGCAAGATGTTACCCCAAGGTGCCCAAATAATAAGTAAAGCATGACTAACAAACATGGTACGATGGCACTAACAAGTTGGGAAGTGCACACAAATTGAAATGATGTGCATGTGTGCAGTAAGGGAAAAAGAATTCAGCAGGTCACAATTTCTGGAAAATAAACAGCCCGGAAAAACCATTGAAAAATCATTCTTTTGCGGAGAAGAAAATACATGTTCATCCTAGTGAGGCACTACTAATTAATAAATACTACAAAATCAATAGCTGATAATAATGTAGTAATAATGAACTAACGATTTTCATTTAGCGCATGAACATTGAATTTATTTATTGTATTGAAGGGAGGATATTTCCTTTGCCGAGAGGAATCACTTACATATGCGAACTTCTTATGCAAATAAATATATATTAAAACACTAATAACATTGTATAGAACAACCTGAAATACATTGAGCTCCACATCGCTGAGAGCTCCATCCCTGTCGTGGTAAAAAGATATAAAAAAGATGCAGAAGACAAACACTGCTTAATTAAATATTTACATGGAAAAATCACCAACATTATACAGAAGGTAACATACTTATATACTGATATATATGGGATAAAACGAAACCATGCTTCCCATAATAGAGTTTATGAGATGATGGGCAATGGCGACAGCTTAATGTATGTGTTGCCAGATGCACACAAAATAGTCCAAAAATACTTTTGTAGATGTTGTACTCATGCTGTCTTGTACAAAAGCAGTAACACGTAAGAACATTTAGGCTTGTATAAAAAAACAGTTCAGAATTTAGGCTTCAAAGATTACAAGGAACTGAGGAAGGCATACCATTGAGTTGCATTGCAAGTCTTCAATGTTCAGATCTTATACACGCCATGCTTCTGCTATCCAATCCATAGCTGATCATGGCTTCAGAAAACCTGAAATTGGATATCACATTTCTTTCAGCAATGGATGAAACTGCATTCATCTGAATGTATATACATCTCAAATTTCATATTACAGTTTCACTCTCAATGGGAGAAGCAATCTCAGAAGGGGATGCGGGGTGGCCAGGTGAGATGCACAGCATGTCATTGTCGGGAGGGGGTGCAGAGGCCTTCCTACAAGACAATAAGGCCGTCAAGCAAAAAATGTAATTAGTTACTGTTGGTCATCTATTACTCATGCTAGCTTATCTCCTGGGAAAAAGTACTACAAAATCTCCAAGTGTTCATAGACGCAACCAGACTTCAGTTATCCATTGACACATAGCGAGTGCTCCTAAAGCAGTAAAACAAAAATTACCTATTTGGGTTGATCGTTTGGGAAACTTGGAAAAGAAAAGCATAAAGAAAACAAGATCTCCAAAGGCACAAAAAAGCAAATCATAAAACTATGTTGAGGCTAACCTCAGGATCATGCAGTATGGCACACAAGAAATTCCATGAGGCAGCAGCAAGGTAATAACGCTCAGGATCATGCCATGTAGTAGTCCAAGAAGTACGAAGAGTGTTTCATTGCAATTGAGTAGAATAATTACTATTTAATGGCTAAACTGTCCACTTTTGCACTATCTCGGGAATTTATATTGTAATCACCAAACAATATAAGGCGGACAAGGTCACACAAATATAAAAAAACAAATATGTCCAAAGTCAAGATTTCGATGAAAAGAAAAATATCACAATAACACAAATAAAAGTGGAGTGTGAGCTATGTGCCATCGCTTCTATCAGCAGAATAGAGAGAAAGCAAGAGTTTCAGCGGTTCATCGTAAGCAATGCATGCACTCAAATTGTAGCTCGAGACCAATGTGCACAATTCATATATGTGTGTCTCAGTGCAATCTCCGTTCATGTGTTTTGCAGCAAGCATGTTTATTACTATGAGGTAACAAATATATGTTTTCCATAGCGAAGGTGTGGGTTGTTATTAAAGGGCAGTCAACAACTTTAAGATTAGTAGTTCTAACATCAGAAATCAATCCTACTATCATCCCTATTCTTCTTCCAAAAGCGCTAAATTTTAATCCAATTATTTAGGGTATGATAGAATAATAATGTTGTATGTGTAACTGCCATCTAATATTCATGAAAGTTTCTCTATTTACCTCATCATGTTTCCCTGAAACTTCATGCACAGGCCAATGTGATTCAGAGTTTTTAGTGATGCTGCAGATTCTAGAAATGGGTTAGTCATATTCATTATTCCTGCAGAAGACAATCCACCGGATATTAGATATTGTTATTGTTTCATTAGTGTCCCGAGGCCCTCACTTATTCAGATCAAATCTCTAAAAAAAAGCGCATGATATATGTTTCTATAACTAAAGCTGATTCACCGCTCGTTGTATTGGATGTACACAAGGTGTGAACACAGAAGAAATTGGCAGCACACTGTAAACCAGTAGCCAAGATCTAAATTTTAACACTAAAACGGTCATCTATACTCAGAGAACAAGCAAACCAATTTCGTATTCTCTAACCAACAATTTACCAGCATAGACGTTTAGGCACACATACAAACAGCTGCCATCAGGATTCCTGAAATTTTATGAGGACATATTGAATTCCTGATTAGTGAGGATTTCAGAAATTTATAGTCCAAGCAACTCGTACATTTGAAGTTTCGTTGCTTACCTTCCCGTTGTGTTGCTATGCTCTTGAAGTCGCCTAACTACAGAAAAAGGAGGCCAAAGTTTTGCTATATTTGGTTATCCACAATAGCATACAACATGTCCATATTAATCTGAAAAACAAACAACAGACGAAGGAAATGAGAGGTAGAGGGATTGGGTTATCCACAATAGCATACAACTATCCGTATTAATCTGAAAAACAAACAACAAAAGAAGGGATTGAGATGCCATGGTGGCCAGGTACCCATGGATGGAGCAGCCGTAGGATATAGGGCCGGAGGAGGGCGGAGGCGGCAGCAGAGAGGTCGTTGGGCCGCCGCGCGCCCCGGTCTGAGGTGCGGCCACGTTCACCAGCGGCCGCCACCCCGCGTGCGTCCAAGTCCCCAACGGCACCGACAGGTCTCGCGTGCTTCGCCGGCGACAAGCGCCCTGACCTACAGTCAGGCCGACGGTGGAGCGGTCGGTGGGAACTCCAGTTGGACAGGCTGTGGTCCTGGCGATGTGAGGTGCTGCGTGCGTGCGTGCGGCGGCGACGATTCGCACGGCGGCGATGTTTGGGGGGCAGGCGTGGCGGTTGGGGCGTGTATCGACAGCGAGGTGAGACGGGGAAGAGGCAGGGGAGGTTATGGCGTCGGGGGCGGCGTGGGTGGGGCGAGGGCATCGGGACGGGATTTATTTTTCGGCACCCAAATCCTGTTTAGCGGTAAGACGTGGTTAGTGGCTTGGTGTTAAACATGGAATGAATCTGGTACGCTAAATCTGAGAATTGTACGGTGCAGATTGTTTGGATCTGGCTCTCTCTTCTTTTTATAGGGGTAGTAGATACACAGTAAATGATGACAAGCAAATTAAACACGCCACCGTAAACCCCGTGCTCGCTCGGTCGGTCGGTCCTCCGGGGCTTAAACGAACGCGTACGGCCCGGCAGGAAAACTCTAGCCGTGCGAAAGCAACAAGCATTTGCACGTCGACGGGAACCCAAAAAAAAAAAGCAGTAGTACCGGCAGCTGTTGCCGGACATGCGTGAACAGTAGAGTAGAGTACCACCACAGTGGAAACCGTGGACCACGCACGCGCACAGTGGACCGAGCTGAGAATAGAGCCCCATCGCATTCCGTGCCGGCCAGTTAAAATCCGCTCTAGCCTCGGACCCTCGACGAACGAGGCAACACGCGCGGGTGGATCAGTTCTCCGAGCCACGACCAGTCGTCAGTCACCGTGGAGTAGAAAACGGCTCTGCTTTTGATGGATGGACACGGAGTCGCCCAGCAGCGGCCGGGCAAAAGAGCAAAGCGCGCTTGCCAAAAGGCTGCTGCCGGCCGCTCCGCGCGCGCGCTCGGCTCGGCTCGGCCACACTCCCCTCCCGGCGGAGATCCCGATCCGATGCTGCTGCTGCTGCCGCTGTTCGAGTGGTACGGACGCAAGAAGTTTCACACGCACGCGCGCGACGTCAACGAATCCTTCTCTCTTTCACCAAAGCGATAAGATCACGATCTACAACAACTAATACTAGTATTACTGTAGTAGCTCCAGCTCATTTCACTGGCCCAGAACGAAGTTACGCAGCAGCAGCAGCAGAGGAGAAGGAGCGTGACCACCTAACCTGGCCACCATTTTTCATCCATGGACACAAACATAGCGCACCTACTCTACTCCTCCTAGCAGTACGTACCACCAACAGTCCAACACAATCAACCAGCACTGGCATGTCCCCAAAAAAAAAAACCAGCACTGGCACGAGGAGATGCGTCTCCTTTCCCGGACCGGCCGTAGCGCAACTGGCCAAAGACTCGATCCATTCCACCACGCCAGCCCGCCCCGGCGCCCCCCTCACCAACTCCACCAACAAACCGTCCCTCTCCTTCGCTGCGCCGCGGGACCCGCCCGCCGGTCGCGCACGCGCCGCGGCCAAAATCTGGGAGAACCTGGTCGACCGACCGATCGACGAGACGCCCCTGGCCTGCGGCGCCATGTCTCGTCCCCGAGGCAATTATTGCGGCGCAGCGTCATGGGCTCACTCACTACGAGCTCACTAGTGTGATAGTGTGGGTGAGCTAAGCTGGTCGTCACGGCGCCATGATCGCCAGCACAAAGCGCATCACCGCCACGGTCATTAGCGACGGGTAGATAGACTTTGCTGCCACCCTTGTCGTTTGCCCCGTTCCCTTCCCGGTGTCCGGCTCTCCGGAGGCGCTTAGTTTAGTGCCGGGCACAGCCTGCGCCGTACGTGCCGCGCCGCGCTGGGAGGAGCCTCTGGGAGAGCGGTGGATGCTGTGCGTCCGCGCGGAGGACGCGCTGGCGGCAGCGGCGGCCGTGGCCGTGGCGTCCGACAAGATGCGCTCCTCCGTGACCCTGTCAGCCCCTGCCCCTCTCCCGTTCGTATGCTTCCGCGCTCTTGATTTGGGTGTTTTCTTGCTCGCTCACCAAAGCTGCTGCTGCTGCTGCTTCTTTTCTTGGCCCGCGCGCGCAGGGGCGGCTCGATCCAGCGGGCGATGCAGCGGATGGGCGGCGGCGGGGCCCGGCGAGCGCGCGGCGGCGACACGTGCCCCACGCCGCCGCCGCCGCCGCCGCCGGAGCAGGAGCGCCCGCCGCGTCTCGCGGCGGGGAGCGGCGAGGCGTCGTCGTCGTCGTCAGCGAGCTGCTCCACGGTTGGTCTCTCGTCTTTCTGCCCCACTCCTTTCTTCTCTGGTGAATAAATGTGCCGCGTCCGTACAGTCAACGTCCGATTTCTTGCTTCGCCGCACCGAGAATTTCCGCTCCGGGAATTCTCCAAATACGGTGTTGTTTTTGTGTATCCCCCGCCATTGCCATCGGTGCGAATCATCAGCTTCAGACAAGCTGTCTGCTCGCGTGCTGAATTCGAGGGGCCCCTCCAGACGAGATGCCACTTTCCCCTTTGCTTGCTAGTACTCCAGTAGTAGTAGTTTTACACCTGCTCTCACTGGGAAATTTGTGAGCTTGCAGTCTGTTCGCCGTGTCTGCATTTTCCTCCGCGGCTGATTGGTGTCACCCGGCAATCCCGTTCATTGGAAGGTTTCAGCTGATCCATGCACGCACCTGATTAACTGATGTGGTGTTCCCATTGCAGGATGATAGCAGCAATGGTGGCGGCAAGAGGGAAGGGGTCCGGAGGGGCGGCGGCATGCGGCGGTACAGATCGCAGCTCGAGCAGGAAGTGAGTGCCTTCCCAATTGCTTCATCTTCTCTGAAATTTAGATGTGCGCGCTGCTGTGATGCTGTCTACAGTTGAAATAATTGTGCTTCCATTTGGGTTGTGAGTTGTGACAGCTTGTTGTGCTTCTTTGCTTGGCTGAACATTCCTTCTGGGAATGGGAATGATCCTCAATGTAAACTGGTTATGCTTGACATTTACTCAAGCAAATTTGTTGAATTATACATGTAGTGCGCACAACTTCGGTTTTGGAACATACTCCCTCCGTCCGAAAAAGCTTGTCCTTCAATTAGATGTATCTAGCACCAAGTTAGTGCTAGATACATCCATTTGAGGGACAAGCGAGAGACAAGCTTTTTCGGACGGAGGGAGTATATTGTGCAAGTTCAAAGGAATGAGATCCAGTATTCTCAGATGTGATTACATACCACAGGTCAGGAATTTGCAGAGGCAGCTCCAGGAAGAGATCGACATGCATCTGGCGTTGACAGATGCCATCGCACACGATGCCGAGCTGATACTTAAATCTTCCACAAAGCTACCGAACAAGGTCTGCACACATCAGTGTATTCTTTTTTTTAACACAAATACATGGTACATATGTTTGTAATTTACTGATGATTGTAGATGGCCACCATTGAATACCATTTGCAACATTTTATTTCCAGGCGCAGGAGCTCGTAGATAGCATATCCTCTTTAGAAATCACTATCTCAAAGCTCGAGACGGATCTAAGCGATTTACGCTACCAGCTGTGTCATGTAAGGACTGAAAGGTTACTAGTAGAAAGTAATCCAGAATGCTTACTATCGACACCATCAACTAGTAAATGCACATGGGATGAAGTAAGTTCTCTTTGTAGCAATGATCTCACTGGAAAGTTCTTATTTCTGTCTGGAGATGCTGACGGTTTGTTTGTTTTACTTTCAAAGCACACATCGGCGTTAAGAGATTTTAAGTTGGAGGAATATGAGTCAGTTCAGTTAATGGAAAAATATCTGTACCCTGAGCTTGAAGAACGACAGGATGTTGAAAAAGAGAGTGAAAATAGGGAGAAGGTGTCTACAAATGGGCAGCTAGAAGAGCACCAAGATGTCAGTTTAAATATATTTCTAGAAGAACACCAAGATGAAGAGGTCCTACTTCATCCCTATTTACCAGTAGTTTATGTTCTATGCAAAATATTTAAAGTTGTCACTGAAGTAAAATTTTCCTGTTCCTGCAGATGCAAGAACCAAGCTCTACAGAGAAGGATGGCAAAGAGTATCTTGGAATAGATGCATTGTCATTTAGCGAATCTGATCCGAAGAAACACAGCATGAATGGAAACATGTGCAACAATCCAAATCAGCTCTCTGGAGAGATGGTGCGCTGCATGAGAGATATCTTCCTACACTTATCTCGATCATCGAAGATATCACCAAAGTTGTCTTCTGATAATTCGTCTTCATCAGCGGGATGTTTATCTGGCTCTACATTTACGTCTGTGTCAGATTCATCTTTGATGGCCTCAGTGCTGCGAAGCCCTTCAGTTGATTCAGATCACGATGATGATATTATAGATGAAGTGGGGAACTTTGATCCGTACAGTGTTAATGGGAAGGAAGCTCGAAGAGACATTGGGAAGTATTGTTCAGTAGCCGAAGTATCTTGGATGAATGTATGCAAGGAACAGCTTGAATATGCGTCTGATGCTCTCCAAAAATTCAGGTTTCTTGTTGAACCCTTGCCTAAAAAAATTTAATACTAATGAACTGATTTCATGTTTACATAAATAGTCTAACAGAATTTAGAAACTGGAGGGAAAATATATTTGAGACTGCCTGGAATAACAATGGAGCACATGGCATGTTGTAGTACTACTTACTGAAAAAATGTGACGGCAAAAGCTACATTTGTAAATGAAGGTCTCAAAAGTGTTTTGTGTTTTACCTTATAGCCCAATAGAGCACCAGATGGTGTTGGTTATGTGAACAAAGGATGTTCTTCATGCCATGGCATGATCAAACTGCTTAACTATTCTTTGTCCGCAGGTCCCTTGTGGAGCAACTATCAAAGGTTGATCCTACCCGTATGAACTGCGACGAGCGGTTAGCGTTTTGGATCAACCTTTACAATGCCTTAATAATGCATGTAAGTACCATCCATTGCTTATCATACATGGAAAGATGAAAATATTTCTTCTTCGTTCGCAAAATCGTGTTCAGTTTTAACCAGTAGGAGCTTTGAAGGCAATAGCTAGTGTTATGTCACAATAGTTGTTGTGGTGATCTTAAATACTTGGTAGTTCCATTGAATTATGTGGTGTAAAACAAGTTGCTGCTTTATGCCCGACTGTCAATTATTCACGGGCTTGGCTGCTCACATGCCAAATTATGTCCATATTCTCTTGCAGGCATATTTAGCTTATGGAGTCCCCGGGAACGACATTAAGCTTTTCTCGCTAATGCAGAAGGTTTGTCTAATGGAGCACTTATTTGGTTATAGCCATGTTTATTTGATAACATATCATATCATTAAACAACCTAAGCTAATGTTGCAGGCCTGTTACAAGGTTGGTGGGCAGTCCTTCAGTGCAGCTGAAATAGAGTTTGTAATCCTAAAGATGAAGAACCCAGCACACCGGCCACAAATCGTACTATCCGTTCCTCATTTGTCAATTTCATTTCTTTGTCATGCAAGTCAAGATTTACCTTACCGTTTTTCCTCCCTTTTCAGTCTTTGATGTTAGCCCTTCACAAGTTCAGGGTCACCGAGGAGCACAAGAGGTATTCGGTCGACGACACGGAGCCCCTGGCACTGTTTGCACTGAGCAGCGGAATGTTCTCGTCACCTGCTGTAAGTGGATGAGCTCATCTTGTGAACAACAAGTATACACTGGCAATGTGTTAGCTAAATAAACCAGAGCTACAAGCACAACTGACCGTTGCTGCAAGCACTTTTAAACCTGATGAAACAACTTGGTATGGAACAGGTGAGGATTTTCTCGGCCGAGAACGTTCGGCAGCAGCTGCAAGAGTCGATGAGGGATTACATCCGGGCGTCGGTCGGGATCAGCGACAAGGGGAAGCTGACGGTCCCGGCTTTGCTGCAGAGCTACGGCAAGGGCACGGTGGAGGACTCGCTGCTGGCCGACTGGATCTGCCGGCAGCTGACGCCGGCGCAGGTGGCGGCGGTGCAGGACACCACGTCGTCGCGCAAGCAGCGGCTCCTCGGTTTCCGCAGCTTCACCGTCGTCCCGTTCGACTCCACGTTCCGGTACCTCTTCCTGCCTGACGACCAGCACTAGGCAGAAAGATTAGCTCTGTACATGTTGTGTAGACTCCGGGCGTGGCTGATTCTGATTCTTTTTGTTGCTCTCTGTAAAGGCCATTGATTAGTCGGTTTGCTTGCATCCTGTGTAGTGCCAGTACAGTGTAATTTTGCTTGAGCTCCCTTTAGCATGGAGTAGTAGAAGTAGAATATATAGCCTGTATAACATGGAAGGATAAACTTTTACAAGTGTTGTTGATGTTGTTTTACAAGTTACTGCTGCTAGTTGGAAAGATGGCAACATCATGTTACCTGTGACTGCAGGCAGCACGCGCGAGCATGACAAGCCACCAGTCCACTTGTGTTGCAGCACCACCACCGGTGCTTTTTGTCTCCGATTCTCATGGCATCATTTCCAACGGCACTGACTGCCTGGAACTGGGCTCTGAACCTGTGGCGTGCTCCCTGGAATAGGATTTGCGCTTGTACATGGAAGATACAGTACTCCGTAGCAGCTAAAGAAGGTGCCCCCAGTTTGACGTGCAGCGTACAGGCCGTTGAAGGGTAGGAACTATTGTCAGTAGCGTTCCTGAATGTCTTGCTGCAAGTTTTGCCTTGAGAATTGGAGACAAATGACTGGGCATACTTACTATCCTTTTTAACTGGTGGGTCGTTTAACTGCTGATGACAAGTGCTGTTTAGGGAAGGAAACAACAACGTTAACCCAGAAGTTCAGAGCTGCTGCAAGTCAGACAAACCAGAAAAGGGACTGTCTTGTGTCTGCATCATCTTGACGGACGCTGCAAACTTGCAAGCTATGCTAAAAGGAGGTCTAGCTCTTACACACAAGCCCCTTTGTTAGCACACAAGATGCAAACAAAACTAATGGCTTTTACAGAGGAAAAAGAATCGGCCACCCCAGAGGATGTAGAAGCATCTACAGTGCAGAGCTAATCTTTCCATTTCCCAGCGTGTCAAAATGTGCACTCCTAATCTCTCTTAAGGAGGAAGCCGAGAAGCTGCGGATGACACTGAAGGTACCTGTGGATGTTGCCAACGTTTCTCATTGTAATTGACTTGATTTTGAATGAAGCTAAATTCAGATGATGTAATTCCCTTACCTCAGTGGATCCATGCCAGTGATTATGAAATTCAGACAACATATCTGTTCTTCTCCAGGAAAATAGCATATACACCAATTGTCTGAATGAAACAGGCTTTTTGGCGCCTTCCTGATGCGACAAGTAAATTCTGCATCAGGACTCAGAAGTTCAGCAAGCAGACATATCTGTTCTTCTCCAGGAAAATAGAAGTTATCTGGAATAGTAGTTCAAGCACACAAGTGATCTTCTTGGTGGGATCATCACATCCAATGCTTTTACATAAAAAAACATACTACAAGAACTGATCCAATGCTTTTACATAGAACAATCCCTTGCATTAATTGATCAATTGTGATCATAATGCACACTAATTGTTGGCCAAATTCACTCGCACTACTGAAAAACATGCCAGTGAAATACTCCTACTACACACTTGCAACTAGCACTAGTGACTCTGCTTTGCTCAGCTAAGCAACACTAGCACTTCAGAGTGCAGACTCTGCTTCATCTTCTTTGCTTCCTCTGATAGTGATCTGCACTGCTGATGGTTTCTTCCTAATCAGGTTCGATCACCTGAGCACTCATCCATGGATTTGCATCGCTTGAGCAAAGTCCCGTCGACGAGCCATCTTTATCAGTACACAACACAAGGCAGTACAAACAAACTAAAGAGTATGATGTTACCAAAATTTAATCCTCCATCCTCTAAAAAGACAGGGATTAAACTTTTATTCATGCAGCAGATCCACCGAAACTTAATCGTAAGAAAATTCACGGTATGCTAGTTCATCCAAAACTTAACATTGTGCTTTTTTTACTTGGCATTAGTGTTGGGAATGTTTAATTTTAAGTTGATATGCAGATTTTTCTTTATCTCAACTCACACTAATTGTAGTTACACATTTTAAGAGTCCTAACTCGGTAAACATAGAAATAAATATTGGTTGCAAGATCGAAAGATAGCAACTCCATTTTCCATCATCTAGAACTCAACTTAGAGTAACATAAGAAAGATGTAGGTGAAGGTCAAATGGAGGCACATATGGATGGTGTCGCTGCCTAAGTTTTGACCATTCAAGATGATCATACGTACTATCCTTTTAACATGTGGTTCGTTTAACTGCTGATGACAACTGCTATTCAGGGAAAGAAAGAACAACATTAACCCTGAAGTTCAGAGCTGCTGCAAGCCAGACAAACAGGAACGGGACTGTTTTGTGTCTGCATCATCTTGACGTTGCAAGCCATGCTAAAAGTAGGTCTAGCTCTTACACACTAATGGCCTTTACAGGGGGAAAGTAATCCATCACCCCAGGATCTACAAAACATATACAGAGCAGTGCTGATCTTTCCATTTCCCAGCGTGTCAAAATGTGCACACCTAATTTCTCTTCAGGAGGAAGCCGAGAAGCTGCAGATGACACTGAAGGTACCTGTGGATGTTGCCAACGTTTCTCATTGTAATTGACTTGGTTTTGAACGAAGCTAATTCAGGTGATGTAATTCCCTTACCCCTGTTGATCCATGTCATGTCAATGAATATGTCAGTTAAGTGAAGTAAACACCATTGCCGTCAAGTACTTATTTTCTCTGCAGCGTGACATGGAACTTGTCTAGCATATACACCAATTCTACTGAATGAAATTTGCAGCAGTTGCAAAATCCAGACAACATATCTGTTCTTCTCCAGGAAAATAGCATATACATGGGATGCGGCCCGATAGCCTCCGGTACTTGCTAGCTCACCAGCAACATTGGACTCTCATCTAAAAAAGCAACATTTAAGCCACTAACGAGCGGTCAAACCCCACAGTGAGCAATTCTTGGCATTCCCACCTCTCCTAGTGCATCATGTGGCACACTCCCAATGCCGCCACGTGTTGCACGCCCGCGCACCCCGCGGAAGCACGGGTTTGTTTTCCTTTTCTGCACAGTACACCAATTGTACTGGATGAAACATGCTTTTTGGCGCCTTCCTTATGCGACAAATAAATTCTGCATTGTTGAGGTGTAAAATTCAGACAACATATCTGCTCTTCTCCAGGAAAATAGAAGTCATCTGGAATAGTAGTTCAAGCACAGAAGTGATCTTGGTGGGATCATCACATTCCAATGCTTTTATATAAAACATACTACAACAGATTGAAAACATAAAAAGGGATCTGGTGCTACTTGCATACATCAGATCCAATGCTTTTACATAGAACAATCCCTTGCATTAGTTGATCAATTGTGATCATAATGCACACTAAAAATTTAGAATCTCACTTGCACTACTGAAAAACATGCCAGTGAAATACTCTACATTCCTACAGACTTCTACTGCCTGACTCTGCTTCCTCTGCCTCTGCACTGCTGATGATTTCTTCCTTTGCTTCGATCACTTGAGCACACATCCATGGATTTACATCACTTGAGCAAAGTTCCGCGACGAGCCATCTCGATGAGCTGAGCTTGATAACGCCATGCGTGCTGTCTTGACTAGTTACTCTTTTCCGAACATGGTTATGTGCATCACCACTCAAACGAAGTATTGTGAAATCAGAGATGAATCCATTGGATCTGTGCCTCAGTACACACTTTTCCGACTAGAGCAGCAGAATGCTTTAAGAAGCCACAGAAGCATACAAGAATAAATAGATACGAAAAGATTACTCAAATGCTCTGCAAAATTCAGACCAGCAATTCTCTCATTCATATCCAAAATTGATTACAGTATGACTTGATAGTCGGTACATCAAGGACTTGCTTAGCTCAAAGCTTCACTCACACATACACACAAGAGTTCACCAATCAATGCTACTCGTCAGAAACTGCAACTTTAACTCACCACGACGCCAATGCCTAAGAATCCAAGTCAGCCAAGATTAATTTTACAGGAGGGTCAGCATAGTCTCCAGACGCTAGGCAGCTCACATGATTACTGTGTGTATCGACAAGTTCAATTCTACTCCTTTTTTCCTGCTACAAGCCGGGTAGCAAACGGGCGTTTTGGATTTTGCGGCGAGTGCGTTTTACGCTCTTTCTCGTGCCGGAATTGCAGTACATGAGCTTCCTTTTTAGGCTCATCTGCTTTACTTTGATTTTATTGAAAATGCCCTTTATTTACTTAAACCCTTACTTAGGACCAGGTGTGGATGTAGTGTAACTATGCCGTACACATCTTAACAAGGTTTTTGCTGCCTAGCTAGATGGAGACTCTGCTGACACTCTTGTAAAATTACTAATGACTGAAAGGGATTGAAAGAACACTAGAAATCTTAGTGATTAAGTGCAGAACCTAGAGATGCAAAGATTAAATGAAACTCATGTGTGAATGGTTTAGGAAGGACTAGCTTAACTCACCCACACGGACTCAAGAAAGGAATTGGTTCCTCTGCTTTGCTTCCTCTGATGCAATTTCTTCCTCTGCTTCGATCACCCGTGCACTGCAGTCATCCGTGGATTTGCATCGCTTGAGCAAAGTCCAGTCGACGAGCCATCTCGAGGAGGCGAGCTTGATAACGCCATGCGTGCTGTCTTGCTTGGAGCAGCTCCTCAGGGGACTTGGTCACGTCGGAGTGATGGATCCAGGGGTCGTTGAACTGCACGGTGTCCGTCATCTGCTCCACCTTTCGCCGGGCCTCTGCTCTGCTGCGCTCGATCTCCTGCCGACGGCTGGCCTCTTCTTTGGAGGCAGAGCGAGCCTTGTCGAGGCGAGCCATGGTGAGGCGAGCGTTCGCGATCAGTTCGCGCATGCTCATCTGCGGCTTGGATTGCGTCGCGGCAGCCGGAGATTCGGCGACCTGGTTCTTGATTGCGGAGGAGTGGAGCGGATCCTTGCCGCTGCTGGGAGACGGAAGCTTGCTGCCGTTCTTGATGTTGGCGGGGACGGCGACATGGAGCTCGCCCCCGGAGCAGGCACCGCGTACGCGCTTCGCCGGCGGCGGGCCAG